AGCCGATGTACAAGTCAGTATTTTTATCCCCTTAAAGGAATCTTCCGCGGAAAAAGCTCCGCCTCCATTACCACAGAAAAACGATACCCCTTAGGCCCCTAGCCTCATGAGCATAGCAAAAAGAACGGAACATAAGCGTTAGTTTCGATAATACTAATCCTACACACAAGACAAAATGATCACTCTTTCCGTGGAAGATTCCTTTAAGGTATCGTTTTCTGTGGTAATGAGGGCGGAGCTTTTTCCGTGGAGGATTCCTTTAAGGGGATAAAAACACTGACTTGTACATCGGCTGGCCCCGCAAGTCATTGTATAGGCCACATCGCATTCAAACGCCACTACGAATGTACAAATGGAAGTAGAATGCGTGCCGCATCCCAAAAAGGGATTGATCAACGGCAAATGCTTTATCCTTTTTATGCTTTTTATGCTATAGATGTGGAACGTGAATAACAAAAGCTTCAACAAATAATAGCAAACAGAGGACGCTCTAACAGCGAAATGGATACTGTGCCTCATTCACAGGCAACCACTGTGTATAACCATCCTCTGATCTACCAAAAACCGACAGCGGAAGCCTAAGAAAGTGTTATAATTGCGACTAAGAAAGAAAAAACCCTGTGTAAACAAAACAATTAAAACGGTTCGTTTCGCTCCTTCCTCAGACGAACCTTATTATTTCGTCAATCCCCGGAGCTCATCAGTGTGGGTTGGCGAAATAAAGACACAGGGGAAAGACGAAAAAACCATTGAATTGATGCACAAATTTATAATGCAGAGGAGCATGCAGCTAAATCAATCGTATACGAATTTGAGTGAAGAAATAGCTCATAAATGAAATAGAAAATACAAAAGGTTATAAAATTCAAGTGGTGGAAAGGAGTTTCACTTGAGATGTGAGGCCCTCGCTTTACCACTTCTCAATACTGCTCATAATTACTCGCAATCAAATCACAAATGCAATCTTTACAACATTAGAGGGTTTGAAGCTGAGTTTGAAGCTAATTGTTTCAAAAATATAAAAGAGCCCAAGAAAGTGCGGCCAAATCCGTTTGAGAAAAAGATATTTTGGGCACTAAACCTTGAAGAGTGCAAACAAAAACTAGCAATTCAGCACTTGCTAAAAAGACAAGGCATCTCCCTAGAAGTTCTAAGTTCTGGGTTCTGTTCTTTATCACAAATAAGCTGTCCTCTAAGAATTGTTGCCTATGCAGGGCAGTTATTCTTTACATTCTCGCGATTTTCAACATCCCTTATACCCACATGGTGATATTGAGCCTTAAAAGGTACAATCAAAGGAAGCCAATTTTATGCGTGGCGATGGACTCATTAAAATGGAGACAGATAAGATCATATTTTCAGTTAGACTGTGATCACGAGGCCTACGTTTTCAGCATCACGCCGAGAATAGAACCCAATTGATGCAAATCAGAAGGGTTGGGCAGGTGAGTGTAGTTCACGTGACGGCGAATTGTTATCATTGAATATCTAGGCCAAACGTGTTTCTGACACTATTAGTACAAATTAAGGGTGTAACCGAATAATCTCGATCAGTGAAACACAGTTCACGCAATATCCATATTGTTGTTCAATCGTGATTTGTTGATACCGCACCAAGACAAGGGCGTAGCCAACTCTTAGCATAAATTTTTCGTGAAAGATTTGTAGTATTACTTAAAGCGACTCAGGCGGATACATGGTTGATGGGATTTTAGGTGGGGGAGGACGCATTGTTCGAGATCGCAGATGACCCATTCTTTTAGCTCTATAAGCACAGAGGGCGCGAGGCTCGCAAGCTCGTGCGGAACTTCCTTTTTTTTTATTGCAACATGAATGTCTGCGCTCTCTCGTGCTGTGCTCTGCTCGCCCTATCACTCTCCTCTGTGCTCGTCTCTCTCCGCTTTGCACAAAAATTGAGGCAGGCCTCAATTCCACGTTTTCTTTCCAGATTATTTTCCTTGTTCTACCAGCCCAAATCACACCTGAGCTTTCTTGTTCGCGCGCAAATTCCAAACCACTTTGATGTTGGGTTATCTTTAACAAACTACCCTTCAACGCCATGCATGATCGAAGAAATCGCTCAGTTCATTCAAAAATGAAAGCCAGGGGTTAAACGAGCTCAAAAGGCTGCAACAAACATTGAATTTTGCGGAACATCCAAACCTCTTATTACTGTACTAATCGTACTCGAAGTAATTTCTGCTAAATTTAGAAAAAAATGAATTCCATCGCAAACCTTTCCAGATTTTACTACTTTCAAATTAACGAAGGACTCACATCATCGCAGCTCAGGCTGAAGTACGACAACGATTCACGACATCTTCTTGCGATTCTGAAAACAAACACGTTCCACTATATCATTAAATATTGACAACAATGAAGAATTGAAAAATCTTAGAACAGCACTGCCGTGACGGCAAACGACACATGAAAGCAAAAACGACTGCGCCAGCGAGGCGCACTCAAGCGGAAACCCAGGAGCGAGCGAGCCGGTCTGGTGCCGAATCAGCCATTCCAATTCAGCAGACGAGAATGACAATAGAAGGAATTCGCTGTCAGGAATACTAATAGGAAACTAATTCGACGTTTTTATCAGCCGAAAGCCAAAATATTCAAAAAGACCGAATAATAAGCAATCTGTAAAATTGAAAGCCCCGGCAGTCATTGTGGTCAACAATCGATGTAAACAATTCCCAATGAAAAAAGAAGAAACAGTGGGAAAAAAGCATTCCAGAATAAAGAAAAGATAAGGAACGTCGAGGTGATGACTTTACAGATTGTGCTAACACCTTGTGATGCAAAAAGTAAACAAAAAAGTCTGCGAGTGTAAACGATGCAGCAGACGGCGCTCTCCTGCTACTTGGCGATTCAACGGCAGATAAGGGGGTATTTCCTCTTCTGAACGCGCTGCATTTCAAGGTTTCACACCCAAAATAAGCCTTAGCCGTATTGCGCTTGTTCTGACAATTTTTCCTTCCAACAAAACTCCATGAGCTGTTTGAGAAGCCTACCAGTTTTTTTTGAACAGCTGATTTATTCGGCTGAAAGGAAAACACATTCGGCTCAGACTGGAATACCATGTATTTTGCATAATTTCACTGCCTTTCTTCGAACCGATTTAACTTTGCAGGTGCCTTAGAAAGCATACACAAGCCTAATCCATATGCTTTGCCTTATTAATCTAAACTAAATAATACGAATATGCAAGACTGCGAGCTCAAAAAACGACGGCTTGTTTATCAGCCATTGGGACCACTTCGACTCCCATATGAGACTTTCTGATGTATAGCTGCCTTGTATTCCGAGCTACGGGAGCAAGCCAATCTTCAATTCAGTGTTATTACCCCTTTAGACAGCACGGGACGCAATTAACGGACCTAAGAAAGATGAAGACTACTTCAGCTTTAGAGAATTCAGTACTGTGAAAAACGCCAACGGCTGGCAGCATCCCTACCCATCGTCGCGATCTCATCCTCATAAGGAGTACATTTCACATCAAACATCAGGTAAATGTGCATTCGTTAAAGCTTTTTCAGTCTAAGCAATTTTCAAGCGAAAAAGAAAGAAAAAGTAAAGGCGAGAAAGAAAAAAGAACGACGAGAAAGAAAAATCTCGACCACAGAAAAGTTAGCCGAATAGAAGGTTCATAATATCTTTGTTGTGGCTCAAGAAACCTCGCTGAAAGTATTAGGTACCGGATATCCTAGTGTCGTTTTTTCACACACAAGTTCCGGAACCACCATATATCATCGAATGACTCATTAGCACTTTCCCATTTACCAGTATGAGTGGAAACCTCGTACGATTAAAGCTAGGAATTTTTTGAGTCGAAAAAGAGAGGTAGGTCGGTTTTGACATCATCTGACAAATCATCCCTCTACCTTGCTAAAAAGTTAGGCCTGGACAAAAGAAGTATACAGTTAGTTAGAGTAGGGTCTGCACTGTATGTGGAAAAGTTAAAACTTACCAGCTCAACTGGACAATTTTTCCCGGAGTCTTTTTTGCCACATAGGGTCAAAAACGCACCCTTTTTGAGCACACGTGAGTAGCAGATGAGCACATTTATTAGAATTTCTTGTGCAATCAACTTCGTTAAAGCGTTTGTGCATCATCGATCAGTCACTGCTAAGGTGTCCTACCATTTCAGCACAAGACTGGTGCAGCCCCGTCTCGACTGATTTAACTAGGGCCACCTTTTTGACGACGATTGCGGGCATCACTTCAAAGGTCTATTGTCTGGATCAGATGAGTACTTGACTGTAGCCGTCCAAGATTAGGTAACTTTATTAGGCTAACGTTTCGGCTTCTTCGCCTTCGTCAGAGCCTGAAAAAGTCAAAAACAAATGTGACCCTCGATTTGTTTTGACTTTTTCAGGCTCTGACGAAGGCGAAGAAGCCGAAACGTTAGCCTAATAAAGTTACCTAATCTTGGACGGCTACAGTCAAGTACTCATCTGATCCAACAATGCCAAGATTAAAAGAAAGTCGATCCTGGACGATTCTATATATTTTCTTTTGAGAAAACTGTGAAAAACCGATGAGCATTTTAAATGGTAGTATTCCCTCCAACAAATGCAATGTTGGTTTGGTGGGCGGAAAGTTGTAGCTCTCAGCAAGAATTTTGAAGCATTTGGTACACACATGCGAATTTGCACACTGGACCCAGGAATTTTCAAAAAAAGTATAAAAATTGGGGGAAAGTTAAATTGTGAACCAACAATAGAAAACAATAAGCAACATATTTCGCAGTATTAATGAGCAAAAAGGACTTTCTGAGATATTGATTTTCCATAGTAATCGGCCCCAAAACTTCCTGAACTCAGAAAAGCGACACTAAGATATCCGGTACCTAATAACTAGATCACACATCTCAACTCGCCATCACATTCAAGTCGTTCCATGCATTTTTATGCACGGCAGAGTCTTGCCATTCAGCGATCGAAGGCATACACTAATTCTTCTTTGTGAGGCACATCACAGACATATGGGTAAACCCCACTCCTCCCAAGTTACAGAGTTTCCATGGTAACCAATAATTTTGGGAGAATCCTTGATTTAGCATTTGCAGTTCTACGTCCGGTCTTCTTGAAGCCTGGGCATTCCGATTATGTCTTGCTTCTGCTTAGCCTTCCAGGTTTGTTATGGTGGAACACTTTATTGGTCGACGTTTCGAATAAATCGTCGTTTATCGAAGGCTTTCGTCAGCTGTTCACGGAGCCGCGGGGGATCTTGTACTGGTGGAGCCGTAAGAGGTCTTCGAAACGACGACGATTTATTCGAAACGTCGACTAAGAGTGTTCCACCATAGCAAATGGAAGGCTAAGCAGAAGCAAGACCTTAATTTAGCACTCCAATATGGCAAGATATTTCTCCCTTCCCGAGTGCTGAATAGGGTAGTCTCATGGGATAAATTCGATGGTGAGGTCAGAAAGCACCATAAATCGTCTTCAAAAGCAATCCGATGATGACAAAGCTTCCAAAAGAAAATGAAACTGAAACTGAAGTGCAGACGAGGAGAAATGAAATCCGCGAGCAAACCCGCAGTGACCCCCTTTGCCTTTTATGACTTTTTAGAACGAACTCATGGTCAACTGTGTTGCACCTCGCCAAATAAACAAACACATTCCACAAGTAAACATATACAACTATGTTACTGCCTAGAAACTGAAAGATAGCCAGTTCAAAACGAAATCCTTCAACAAATCCCTGTCGGAGAAAAAATTTTTATCACTTGGGAGTAAAAAATTGAAAAACTAATACAGGCGCTATGGCAGATGAGGGGGCATCTTCTAGGACTGAGCCCAGGAGGGACAGGAAACTGGGAAAAAAATGAAAACAGCTCACGACCATGGGTTCTCTTCTTCCCTTTTGTTTTTCAATAAAGGGGAGATGTTTTACGTGCGTTTAAATGCATAGCTACTACATGCCCCCGTATCTTGTGATAGCGCCCTAATACCTTTTCATCGCAATCATAGCGAAATGAGTAAAAACCTCGCGCGTTTTCCAGCAAACTTCACGAGCCTTTAGTTTATTGAAGATGAAAGATTATCATTAGATTGAAGATGAAAGAAGAATTCGTGGTGAAAGAAAACTGACGTCACAGAACAATTTGTGAATCAAATTCAATCGCAAGCCCTTGCAAATAAGCTGTGCAAGCCGGCGATTTGCAAGAAGTGGAAGGACTATTCAAAAAGATTTACGACGTCATGCGCTAACGATACCCCATCAAATGGCTGCAAAGAAAGCGAACACTGAAAGAACTAAAATCAATAAAAGCTGCGAGTGAAGACGTCTATGGAAATAACAGCCGAATTACTGAACAAAACCATAGGGGAATTGGAAAGTGGAGCAGCTGCAAAACAAGACGTATACGCCTGTTCCGCCCAGCAATGAAAGTGCGCAGGAACGTGGACGAAAGTGGGAACGGGACACCGGGACGAAAAGGGAGAGAGTGGGAGACGTCGGAACCGTTCAATAGAAGTCGCTCGATAGCATCAAAGGGAGAGGAACAATTATGTCGATCGATCGGTGCTGAGATCTTTCCCGGGAAAGGAAATAGGGTAAGTGAAGAACGGAATAACCAAAAGAGTATTCAAGAGGAAAATAGGAGATTGCGAGGCTAGATAATAGCCATGGGCGCTTTGACTTGCCAGTCCCTCCAGACTAGAAAAAACTCTATTTCAGAGTGCACTGGAGGATCACGTCAATTTGGAACCCCAAAGATAGGGGCAGAAAGGCTGGTAAGCAGATGGAGAACAAAAACACTTCAAGAAGTAGATCGGGTAGTAAAGTACAGCCGAATGGACATTTTGCACGCCGCCCCCTTAATTTACCTACTTCCTTCCTATTTTCTAGTCCTTTCCTTCCCAACAAGATCAAAAGTAAAGAAAATCATGGTTAGTCTTAGAAGCAAGAGCGAGAGGAAAGAGAGAAAAAGAAACGAATAGTAAAATTGGAAATGGACTCATATTCACCAAAAAACGGCTCTTCTGCCTTTACCTTTACTGTAGAAGTATGGCCGCTCATACCTGTGATTGTCCTATGAATCTTTTCAAAATTAACAGAGGACGAATGTTCTACAGCGCTATCGCAAGATACGGGGGCATTGTGGTGACAAGGTATTCAAACCCACGCGTAACACGTCTTTTTCTGCTAAAAAAGGGACTGAGCAGTAGGTGTAAGAGGAGACTCTACGGTGCGCGGACCATTTTCATTTTCCCAAAGTTCCTGCTACCCCCTTCTAAGCTTTCTTCTCTAGGATGCCCCCATATATTGCGGTAGCGCCTGCTTCACTTACACAAAAAAATTATATTGCAAGAAAGGATGAAGATG